GCCTCTGTAGCTTGGCCACCTGCTCATCTTTGATGGACTCACACTTCTCAGTGCTCACCTGCCCTCCAAAATAAAAGAGAGGCAGCCTCAGCATTTGTCTGTTTCTTCCTTTCTCTGCAAGGACTCAACAGCTCTGCAGACCCAGATTCTTCCTATGTAATAAATCTCTCAGCTGCAGCTGAGAGTCCTAGTCCTAGTTTTTCCCTGCCTGCTGTGAGGACCATGTCCTTCTGCCTCCCTAGAGCCTCTTGGACAGGTTACTTCTCCTCCTCTCACCCTCCTGACCCTTCCATCATGCTATGCTGGGGCTGCTGTGGCCACGAGACGAACCCCACCTCAGAGAGCTGTAACACCCCACTATTACCTGGCCTTTTGCCACTTTTGACCCTTGTGCCTCCTGTCCCTGGTCCTCCATGGAGGTGCTCTCAATGCCGCTGTCCAGGCCGGCCGAGGTCAGCTCGCTCCTCTGGCTCTCCACGGCGCACAGCCACTCCTTGACGCGCAGGATCTGCTCCAGGCTGAGGTTGCTGTCCTCCTGGAGCTCGGAGAGCAGGCGGTGCGCGGCGTCGGTGCAGGTGCGGTAATGGGCGCACTCGGCCTGCAGCCGGGCCGTGGCGTCGGGCACGCTGCGCTTGGCGCTGCCCGAGCGGTGGATGGTGCGTGTCTCCGAGCGCTGCCGCTGCTCCAGCGCCTTCTGCAGGCTCTTGATCTGCAGGTGCAGCTCCTCGATGTGCTCCGTCTCCCTGCGGCAGTTCACCACCGCCTTGTTCTGGATGTTCTGAGCCCGGCTGGCGTAGTTCAGCGTGTTGAGGCTCTCGTCGAAGTCAGAGGATGAGGGGCTGACGCAGGCTATCATCACGGTCTGGGCATTCCCCCCCAGGGAGTCTTTCAGGATCCTAAGGAAGAGCACAGGGATTAAAATGGCAGAAATACAAAGGAAACAGAAGGTTTTCAACACAGGAAACAGAAGGTTTTCAACCCTTTTCAGAGGTTGAGCCCAAGGAAAATAATGTCCTTGCTCTGTAGCTGGTTTGGCATCAGTGAGGTGAACGGAATCATTAAGCAGAGGATTAACAGTTTGCACCATGGCAAGTCTCCATGCAAATAACTCCTGAGGTTGGGAGCTCCCTGACTCTGTGATCACTGCTACATATGGGCTGCCAGGGGTGCTGCTGGAGATTGCAAAGGCCACGTGCTCAAGCTAAGAACTAACTGTGGACCATTAAACAAGCCTACTGGGAGTACTTTTTATTCCCTGACTGGCAAGAAGAGCAGGGTAACCCACAGCAACACCTCATCTCAGCTTTAGCAGCATAACTCATGCAAGCCTCACTGTCTGTAACACTGCAACGACCTAGGCCTGCATTCCTATCCTGGCCTCATTGCTCCTTGAGATTCCCTACATGATGACCTGCAGAGAGGTCAGACCTGGAAGCTGAGCCCGTGAGACGTGGGGGGTCCTGCTCCCAGTGGTACCTGGTGATTTTGGAGTCCCTGTATGGGATGTGGGTGGTCTTTCTCCGAGGATCTCCCAAGGCACTGATGACGTTGCCCAAGGCCAGGAGGCCACAGTTGATCTGGATACTCTCCTTCAGCCTCTCCCCTGTGTTTCCCGTCTTCACAATCCGCTCTGAGCCTGCCAGGTCCACGAAGTGGAACTTGGAGACCAGGACCTGTCCGGCGGCGGGCACGGCGGGGGGCTGGCGGTGCAGGGGCAGGCGGCCGGCGCCGCGCCGCTGCTCCATGGTCACCGTGAAGATGGTGTGCGAGCGGCTCGACTGCCTGTTGATGTGCGTGGCTCCCGTGTGCTTGGCTGTGTTCCCCATCTCCAGCAGGCTCAGCACCTCGTCCAGCCCTTCCACTTCTGACTCCTTCACCCCGCACAGCACTGCAAAGCAAAGGCAGCTGTGGGTGGGTATTGTAAAAGCAGATGACCCCCGTCGAAGGGAAGAATGATGCATCTGACTCCACTGATATCAGAAGGCTAATTAATTACTTTATTATACTCTATTATTCTATTACACTATATTACACTACATCTAAACTGAAACTGCACAAGCACTCAACTCAACTGAACAAAGTCTTGTGACTGTCTCCTGACCGACAGTCAGGACACATGCTTGGCCCTGATAGGCCAAGGAAACAAAACACCATCACTCTGGGTAAACAATCTCCACACTGCATTCTACTTTGGCACAACACAGGAGCAGCCAATGAGATAAGAATTGTTTTGATCATTCTTTTCTCTGCTCCTCTCACTGCTCCTCTCAGATTCAGAGAATGTGGGGAGGGATGGGCTGCCTGAGGATGCAGTTCCTCTGCAGAGCCTGGTGCTGTCACCCTGCCTGTACTGGGCTTTGCCCAGACCAGCTTTCCAGATTAAGCACAGCAAACTGCTGCAGAAGACAAGGGGATGGAGGGGGAAGACCTGGCTCTGCCTTCATGGACAGATAACCCAGCTCTGGCCTCCAACATGAGGAGAAAAAGAGCCTGTGCACAGGCACACATACCAATGTTCCCCTTGTCATCCTCCCGGATCTGGATGTCTTTGCTGGCTGTATCCACCTGCAGCAAGTCCCGGAACTCCTCCTTGTACACTTCCAGGTAGGACACTCGGACCGTGTAGTCGATCAGGTCATTCTCGTCGATGAGCCTGAAGGTCTCAGCCATGGCTCGTGGGATGATGCCCTGCTCATCCTCATTGATGGAAGCTAGCAAAGAGAGGCACACACCCATGGAGCATCCAGGGAGCCCACGCTGGCTGGGGACAGAGCTGAGGTCAGAAGCCTGCCTGCAACACACGTCAGCTGGAAAGGAGCAGCCTCACAACTGTCCCAGAGCTCAGCCCTTGTAGCCTGGGTTAAACATGCCACGAGACCTCTGGGCAAATCCTACCCCACTGCTGTGCTGGATTCCAGCCCTTCCTCAAGAAGGAAAAAGCACCTCAGCATTTCAGTGAGTATCAGACACCATGCCTGCAGCTGCAGTGTGCTGTCCTTTGAAGCCAACATGACTCCACAACTTTTCCCAACTGCGAGAAGCTTTTCTTTTTCTTTTTTTTTTTTTTTTTTTTTTTGCGTTTGTAGCTTGCTTGTATCTGGCCACAGCACTCTACTGAATTTTAAATGTTTTTCCTTTTATCTCCAACAGCCATGTAAAATGGCAATTCTCAAATTTGGTGCAATGATAGCCTGAACTGGGAGACTGAAAACAGATGTACATTAAAAGTATGAAACAATTTAGAGTTTACAAATGATGCAATTAACTAAAGATGACTGAAATGTTTACAGCACATCCTCTGTTAGAAATCACAATGCCATTAAGCCAGAATGAAAAAGTTGTCTTTTTCTTCATTTCCTCCATATAAAGAAACAAACAGGATTGACACTTGCAAACCTCCCTGTCCTTCAGGTTTATTTCAGGATCTAGGACTATCACCACCACCTCCAGAGCTGGTGGAGGACCAGATCCTGCCACTTGTCCTGCAGTGAAAGAGGAGAAACCTAGACACTGTGATCTCAAGGGTGTGGAGACACACCTCTGGGGGGTGGCTACAGCAACATAGGTAGGGGGAAAGGAAAGGCTGCTGAGGGTGGGATGGTGGGGGAAGGCTGGCTTGAGCTGGAGGGGCTGGCAGGGTGGAAGGGCTGTTTGGGAGTGAAACTGGAAGTGATGGAGACGATGATGATGCAGTTGGGTTTGGGTAAAGCAAGGATGCTGGCAGAGAAGGGATGCTGGCAGGACAGGGATGCTGGAGGAGCAGGGATGCTGGAGGAGCAGGGATGGTGGTGGGACAAGGATGCTGGTGGAACAAGGATGCTGGTGGAGCAAGGGTGCTGGCGGGACAGGGATGCTGGTGGAGTAAGGATGCTGTCGGAGCAGGGATGCTGGTGGAGCAGGGATGCTGGCGGGCACGGAGCCGCCGGTCCCGGCGAGACTCACCGACGCTGGCCTCCCCGATGGTGTAGGTCTTGCCGGAGCCGGTCTGTCCGTAGGCGAAGACGGTGGCGTTGAAGCCGCGGAAGAAGGCGCGCAGCAGCGGCTGGACGCAGGCCCGGTACACGGCCGCCTGCCCCGCCGCCTCGGGCAGCACGGCGGCGAAGCGGAACCGGCGGCGGCCCAGCTCCACCTCGCCGGTGGCGGCATCGCTCCGCAGGCAGGGCCGGTGTCCCCGCAGCGCCTCCCGGGGCAGCAGCGGCCGCACCCGCACCGCCACCCGCACCACCGCCGCCTCAGCCGCCATGGCCGCGCCCGGCGCGCCGCGATGGCGTCAGCGGCTCCTCCCGGCGGGCCGGGCAGGGCAGGGAGGAGGATGCGGGCCCGGGAGGGGATGCGGTTGGTCGGGAGGATGCGGAGGGTCGGGGAGGGAGGACGATGCGGTCGGTCGGGAAGGGAGGATGCGGCCGGTCCTCGCCGCAGCCCGGGGAGAGCAGCCGGGGGGAGCGGGAGACGCCCGCGGCTGCAGGAGTTGCGCGGCGGCTCCCCGGTACTCCAGAGAAGCTCCATCACTCTTGGGATGTTTCATCACTCACTCACTCGCAGGGGATTCCGTCCCTCGTGAGATGCTTCGTCACATGCGAGGCAGCGCTCCGTTAATCGTGAAGTGTTCCATCGCTGGTGAAATAAAGTTCGGCCACCCATGAGATGCTCCGCCAGCCGCACGGGACTCTCATCAGCCGCTTCATCCCTGACGAGACAGCCCAGCAGCGGTGACACTCCCGGGTGACATTCCCACGATCACCTTGGGGAAGGGACAAGGGGCTGCGTGGCCCTGCCGAGGCACAAAGTGCTTTGGGGTGGGGCCGTGGGTCCCTCCTGGGATGCGGTTTGGGAGCAGCTGGTGCCGACAGCTGGTGCTTCCCGGCCGCCCGCCGCGCTGGGGGCTGGCAGGGCCGGCTCAGCCACTGACGTATGTTCAGGACACTCTGAACGATGACAAAGTTTTTCATCCGGCTGCCTGCAGTTCCCTGTGCACCGCCCCTGCGGCTGCGGGGAGGGGTATGGGCCTCGTGGGTCCCCCGGGTGCCGTGGGAAGCGCTGGGCTGTCGGCTGTGCCGAGCCGGGCTGTACACACGGCTGGGACCGTGCGAGGGCTCGGCCACGCTCGGCATGGGGCTCCGGCTCCCGCTGCGCCGCAGCACCAGCTTCACCCCCGACCACCCTGCCCTCATGGAGGTGCCTGGCCCCGCTGCCCTGAAGATGGAAGCAAACGTCCTTGTCATGGGAGCAGACAACGTAGGGAAATCAGGTGAGAACTGACCGTGAACTGTGGCAGGCTGAAAACTGCAGCAGTGTTTGGAGGAACAGTAGCAGGGAGCAGCCCTTGGTGAGATGGGGCTGAGCCCTGGGGTGCAGCTGTGATTCAAGGTGGGGAAGCTGAGCACAACCTCGTAGCCAGCCGGGGAATGGCAAGGGAAGGTATTTTCCACTGAGCTGCAGTTTGCTGATGCTCCGGATCGTGCAGATGCTTTGGTTCCTGCTGTGCCTCTGCTGCACTCACAGACCTGCTGGTGGCTGGGGAGACTCAGAGGTCGTTGCTGCTGGTAGGAGTTTACAAGGGCATGGTGCCTGACTCTGCTCTGGATTTAGAAAGGAGAATCCTCCAGGTTTGGGGTTATTCTGATGATTCCTGTCCTTCCGCCTGCAGCTCTGACCGTGCGTTTCCTGACCCGGCGCTTTATTGGAGAGTACGGAGACATGGGTGAGTGCCAGGCCAGGCCAGGCCAGTTCTCAGCAGGGACTGGGATCCAGAGACAACCCTGCTTCTGCCTGTGGGATTTCATTGCAGCCCATCCTCTCCTGCCTTTCTCCAGAGCATCTGCCTGCTCCCAGGGGCTCAGTGTTGTATTTGTTCAGTGATCTCTTTGCTCCAGAGCTGCTTCTCTGGGGTGCGAAAGGTCCAGGGTGGCAGCTGGTGACACCATGAAGATGACGATTTTTCTTTCTTTTTGGGGGCACAGAATTCATCTACAGCCACAACCTGACTGTGGATGGCCGAGAGATTCTCTTACACATCTGGGACGTCCCCAATTCCCAGGTGAGAGAGCTCCACTCCTAGCATCCCTTTCTACCCCAGGGACAAAAACCCCTTTACTGGACGTTACCTATGGGGAACCACAGGCTGAGAGGTCCAGTTGAGCAAGAGTTTCAAATCAGAGGGTTCATAAGTGACTGAACTCTTTTCAGCTGCCAAGCACAGGACAGCAATGCTGCTGACAGGGTAGCAATACTTACCATTGCCCATGGCCCTCTGGCTGAGAACACTGGAGCTGAAGCACTGATGGGAGTACAGGGCTGTGGTAAAGAAATAGAGGTGCTGCTCTGAGGTCCCCACAGTGTTATCACCTACAGCTTGCAGTGCTTGGCAGCTGGGTGAGGGTTAGGATTCGGGTGTGATGCTGAAAACTGAATCGTCCCCCCTCGGTTAGTTCTGCCAGGTGCTGCTCTGCCCTCCGCGGTACTCCTCTTTCTCTCTGCCCTTTTGCTGTTCTCTAGCTGTCCCTGTCCTGACAGGCTCAGGATTGCCCTCTTCCATCAGGCAGGCCTGGAGGGAGGGAGCCCAATAAAAAAACCCTTCCTTTTCTCTTTCCCCACAGGAGCAGGCAGAGGATGGCTCCTCAGAGGAGAAGCGAATCCAGTGGGCAGACAGCTTTGTCCTGGTCTACAGTATCTGTGACCGTGCCAGCTTCAACATCCTGCCCCTCAAAGTGCAGTTCATCAAGGCTGCCAAGGAGGGGCAGAGCCAGGAGAAGGTGCCCATTGTCATTGTGGGCAACAAGCGGGACCTGCACCACCAGCGGGTGGTGTCCAGCGAGGAGGGCCGGCTCCTGGCCCTCTCTTTAGACTGCGGTTTCTATGAGGTCTCTGCCGCTGAGGCTTATCACGGGGCCCTCATGGTCTTCCATGGACTGGCCAAGCTCATCCCAGACACCAAGCTGGCCATGAAGAAGGGCACAGGGATCCGGGGCATCGTCAAGACCATGTCGGCTGTGTTTGCCCGAAAGCGAACAGACTCCCTCTGAGTCCTGCACGGCTGTTGCTGCTCTCTGTGCTGCCCAGCTGGGCCAGGCCTCCTCGCTGGGTGCCCATGGACATGGTGTGTGGCTTTCCATAAGTATGACAGTTCCTTGCTGTCCTCCTCGTGTCAGGGTCTGCGTGTCCTGCCTCGCACAGCCAGTGCAGCTGAGGACTGTAGTGGGCTCCTCTTGGCTCTGCCATGGGATAGTCTCATCTCTTTGCTCTACCAGCTCTTTAGGTGCCTCCTGCTTTCTCCTTCCATCCTCCAACACTGGAAACCACCGGGGGGATTTTGCCAAAGCTCCAGGCAGCAGCATCCCTAGCTCCTGCAGCAGGAGCTGCCCAAGCGGTCAGCAATTAGGGAGAACATCCTGCTCTTGTACAGCACACGACTCTCTGTCTCTCCACTCCTACTCTGGGATCCTTATTCCTGTTTAACCCTCATCAGGATCCTCTTCAGTAACCCTGGAGCACCCATGAGCTGGAGAGGTGGGGCTTTCTGCACTGGGGAGGCACTGGCAGTTCCCGCGTGTGTATCAGAGCCCAGGGCACCGGCGATCCTGGAGAATTTGGTGAGGGCTGGTGCCTCCCATCCCCCGTGCCGTGCTTTTGAACAGCCGTGCTCACAGCCCTCTCCCCCACAGCCTTTCAGCCATCCCAGCCGTTTGTTTCTCTTGTGCGGGCGGGTGCTGTACAGGCTGTGCCTGGGAAAAGCCAAGCGCAGGGCTCGTTCCCAGGATGGGAATTGCACCACGAGCCTTCCCAAGCCACTCGTTCTGTAGGGCTGCCTGTCCCCAGGGAGGAAAGGAGCTGGGGAAAGGGGCTCGCTGACCCCTCTGCTGCTGGGAGGCTTTTCCCTGCCTCTCCCAAACCCTTCTCTTTGTGCCCTGGGAAAGCAGTGTATTGGGAGAGGGTTTGTGCGTGCTGTAGGGACACTGATTTCTCTGCTGTGTTCTTCTGGAAATGCAATAAATTGTCTTTGGCAGGAAGCCCCGGCTCCTTGGAGCTGTGAATTTGTACTTGGGGCATGGGAAGAGACACGTACTGTGCTGGGCACGAGCACCCACTCTCCCAGTGGCAGCTACCCACAGGGAATGTAACAGGATGTTTCCTGCACCCATTCCCTTGGCCCTGAGTTGGGGGTCTCACCCCACCGTGTTCCCTTGGTTTGGTGTCTCACTGCCACAAAGGAGCTGAGCAGATGGGGTGAGTGGCAGGTGGTTTATTATTGCAGGTTTATTATTGCAGCAGATACAACAAGGTGTTGTGGGAAGCCAGGTGATCCTGTGGGAGAGGGGCTCCAGGAGCTCCACCTGTTCTTTTTCCTGACCCCACCATCCATCCCACCACCAGCTGGGAGAGAAGTGCCCAGGGCTTTCCCACTCATGAATCCTGCTGGTTGGTGGGGATCTTCAGCCCCTCCATGGAGGAGCAATCTGTGCATAGGGATGTGCCCTGCAAGGGGGGATGGAGGGAAGAAGGATGGGGAAGCAGGCTTGCTATGGTGATATTTGACAGCTTTGCCATCCTCCCCTCTCTCTCTCTCTCAATGTGTAGCCCATCTAAGTTCACCCTGTCTGCTGAGCAGGGTCCAAGGTAGCCCAGTGCCAGCCCTGGGTGATCCCTTCTCCTGCTCTCATCCCTCTTTCCACATCTCCTTCACCTTCCTAGTCCCACCTTCCCCTACCTTCTCCTTCTGGCAGCAGGGCTTTTGTTTGCCTTTATTCCCCCATCCTGGCCTTGATGCACTCCAGAATAAACTATCCCATGGCCTGTCTACCACTTGAAGCTCCTGTCCTGGAACAGGGGTGTGTGTGGGAAGCTGGCAGGGGCCCAGGCAAAGCGTGCTGAGGGGATTGGAGAGGGGCTGGGATGCTTGTCCTGCCTGCTAGCTCAGTCCTTCTTGTAGACAGGGCTGTAGAGGCTGCCATAGTAGGCCCGGCTGTACACGGACTCGGGGCTGAAGCGGTAGGAGCCCTCGCTCACCCTCCTGTTGTAGGGGGAGAAGGCGGATTTGCGCGGGAACGGGTACTCGGCCTCCAGGGCAGGGCTGCGGTAGTAACCGTGCCGCAGGAACAGGGGGTCCTCGAGCCCCAGGAAGGACAGGGGGTGATGGCCACGGTACAGCCGCCAGTCACTCCTCAGCTGGGATTTCTCCTCGGTGGAGGCGGCAGCAGACTTGGTCTCCTCCTCCTCCTCCTTCTCCTTCTTCTCTTTCTTCTCCGCGTTGGTCTTGCTGGCCCTGGATGCTTCTTCTTCCTTCACCGACTGCCTGCGGAGCTGAGAGGTGGGGTGAGCACCCAGCCAGGTGGAGCCACCTGCCAGCCCTGCTCCACCTGTGCTACACAGCCCCCCCCTTAAACTGGGAGAACCTCAGGAGAAGCCAGTTTTCCCCCAGAGTGGAGAGGAGTGGGTGGCTTGCAGTCCTTGAGCAGCTGTGGTGGAGAAATGCTCCCAGGGGAACAACAGGCTGAGGTAAAGGAGAGAGAACAGGGTCTCAGCCTGAACTTTCCCCTTCCCGGGAATGTGGTCACACCTTGGCTTGGGCATGAACTGTGTGAAGATGTCACCATTGTGTGACCCATTTGTTCTGTTGGGGGACTCACTGTCATGGCTATGGGGGTGCTCAAGAGGAGGGTGGCACTGAGGTGTCTTCATGGCATCTCCCCAGTCTGACATTGCCTGCAGCTGTGGGGTGCTCATGGCAGGAGATTGAGCAGAATGGGCTCTGCTGGAGATGGACAGGGCCTGGCTGGGGGCAAACTCACCGGCACATAGCTGTACAGGGTGCCCAGCAGATGCTTAGGGGCACTGACGAGGGTCCCCCCGAGAGCATCCACAGACTCCATGGCCCTGGACAGCCTGCGGGGGGTGAAGAGGATCAAGCCCTCTGCCGCATCCCAGGCCACGGCTGGCACCTTCTTCACGCTGGAGATGCCCGAGGCGCAGGCGCTTTGCAGGTTGTGAGCCACGCTGCCCACGAGCCCGGGCTCCTGTCCCGCCTGCCCAGAGAAACCAGTTCAGTCCTGGACCTGCCCCACCTCCAGGCAGGACAGGACAGGGGTGGCCCTGGTTTCCCCATCCCCTTTGCAGCTCTAAGCCTGAGAGATTTCAGCTGGCTGCTCTGCAAAAGCCACCGCAGCTCTTTGCAGCAGGGTCTCTCCCTGTCCCTGCCAGCTCCCCCACTCGGGGTCCCGGGGGACCCTCTGCTCGAGGCTGTGCTTCCGCTGCAGGCAGAGGCAAAGGGCACTGACCCCAACCTGCTGCTTCCCGTCCCCAGCTCCCAGTGGAGCCGATGCAGGAGCCTGTTCCCAGCCCCACCGGCTCAGACCGCCCCTCCCTGCTGGGACCACGGCAGGGGATTTCTCAGGGGTGTCAGAGGTTCAGCAGGGAGTTCAGTGCTGGCATCCCACAGCTCCAAAGGAGTTTTGAACATACAAGCCAGGGTGATTTTGCCTGGCACAGAGGCAGCCCACAGTTCCCAGCTTTGGGGAAAGGGAAGGGGTCTCCTGGGACTGCCCCACTGCCACCCCCCCTCTTGCATCCTCCAAGCTGCATTTCAGGATTGAGCAGGGATAGGGGTCTGTCCCCAAAGGTATGGGGGAACAGCCTCCATGGTCCATGGGTAGGAGGATGCTTTGGAGCATTCCCAGCTCACTGCTCTGCTTTTCTCCATACCTTGGCGTGGTTGGTGTCTTTCTTGCCTGCCTTCTCCTGCTTCTGCTCGGGTGCCTTGCTGTGGCGCCGGGTCTGCCAGCCCGCGCTGCCCTGCCCGTCACTGCGGGCCTGGGGGGCTGCAGGGGCACTCGGCTTGGCCAGGCTTCCCTGCCAGGGGAGCAAAAAGGCACCACTCAGAGGGAGCTGGCTGGTCCCACTCCGTCCTTTTAGCCTGAGGTACACAGGGGTGCACAGGGAGTTCATTTGTGCATCTGGGGAGAAATCCTGAGGGCAGATGGGAGCTCTGGGATTTTGGCACAGGCCAGGGAAGTTGTTCCCACTGAAGCACATGGTAGGAAAAACACCTCCTTCTCCCCATCCCCTCTGGGTCTCTGCAAGGGCTTTTTGCTTTAGGAAGGATGTTATGGCAAGGCCATAAATCAACAATTACATGCTGGGAACCTGCTAAAAATAACTTGTCCCGCTAATGTGGTGCATGGTTATGTGTGAACATCACGCAGGAACCGCCAGCCCCAGCTTGTCCTGCTGAGCAGGGGAAGCGAACTCTGCTCAGATTTGCTCCAAGGAGCCTGAAACATCCTGTCTGAAAGCAAAATCAGCTCAAAAGAGGATATGGGGGAGCAGGAACCCAGCAGGTGGGTCCTGGCACTCACCAGGATGGGGATCCAGGAGGCCAGCTCCTGCCCTTTGGTTTTGGCACGCTGGAGGCTTTGGGTGGTTTGCTGGTAAGCGCGGTGGGACACGGTGCTGACCAAAGCACCAATCCGGCCCAGGGTGCTGGGAGCACTGGGAGCACTGGGAGCACTGGGAGCACTGGGAGTGCTGGAAGTGCTGGGAGTGCTGGGTGTGCTGCATGCACTGTATGCCCTGGGAGCACTGGGAGCACTGGGAGCCCTGGTAGCAGTGGGAGTGCTGGGAGTGGTGGTGGTAGTGCTGGGCTGCTGCTGGGACACCTTTGGTGTTGACAGACGTTTCTTTTTGGGCTTCTTATCTAAAGGTAGAAGAGTACAGGCAGAAGAATGGTGGGAAGGTTACATTCTGGTGGGACAACCCTCCTAGGCAGCCTTCTCCCAAAATCCAGGGGCCACCTCCTGCCCCATGCACCCCACAAACTGAGGAGCCACCCAGCCAGCTGTCACCAGCCTCCCTCAGAGGGGATTTGGGCATCAGGACTACCTGCTTCTTCATCCTCCTCTGGCAGCAGGTATTCCATCAGCTTCTCCAGCCCTCCCAGGGCTGTGTCGACCCCTGCAGCTGCCATCTGGGTCACTGAGTTCTTCCTTGTGTACTTGGCTGTCGTTTCCACTGTGCTCTTGGTGGCCTCATAGCCCTCTGCCGCCAGCTCGATGATCTTATCCATGGAGCTGCCAATGGTGCTTTTGGCACTTTGGAGGGGGCAGGAGATGGTGTCCTTCAGTTCAGATGCAAGCTGTGGGCAGAGAGACGGAGAACAGCCCCTCTGGTGTGCTTGGGGTGGCATAGGGCAGCCAGAGGGACTGCAGGGACCTCAGCCATGTCCATGCCAGCAAGAGGGGCACAACAGCTCTCTCCAAACTGGGCTGGAGGTAGTTGGCTGGAGGTAGTTGGCAACAGGACATTGCTGACTTGTATTTGGGAGCCCCAGCCATCGTTTAGGCTGCAGAGGCCCTTGGAGGAGCCCTCACTTAGAGATGCTGCCTTGTTTCCCAGCCAGCAGCCTGTCACCATCAGAAGCAAGACTAGAGGAGATGTACTGTGGGCTTTTCAGAGGGGCTGGGGGGTCCCAGATTGTCCTGTGTGGATGCCATGGGACAGAGAGAGAGAAACAGCAAGCGTTTCTCATGGTGGCTTATGAGAACTTTTAGGGAGTTGTAAGGATGTGATAACTTTTTAAGTATAAACAATCTACAGGTGGTGTTTTTCTACTTCATCTTTCTGTTCTTCTCAAGGACGGTGTATGAGGAAAGTGTTTTTGTTAGTTAGCCAATCAAATAGAATGTATGGTATCACTCTATAAAAACTGCATGGTTCTCTTGAATAAAGCCTTCTTTGCTCTTTCTACAATACTGCCTCCTGTACTGCCTCCTGCCTGTTCCTGTGTCATTCTCAGTGCAAGAGTGGCTGTCCTGCCTGTGACTTACCTTGTCAACAGGGTACTGCAGAGCAGGGATCTTCTCCTCCAGGTGGTCCAAGCCCCGGCAAGCCAGGTTGTTGGCCACAGCGACTGCCATGGGCAAAAGTATGGTGAGAAAATCCCCCGGGCTGTGCCAGGCTCGTGCTTGTGCCAGCGCTGTCCCAGCAGGGGAAGCCCTGCTGGGCCCCCCTGCCACGTCCCCCCCAGCAGACGGACTCACACTGGGGCTCCAGGCGGCGCACCACGGGCTCCATGCCCCACATGGCCAGGGCGCCGGCGCCCTGCACGCCCCGCTCGTACACCTCGCACACCGAGGCCATCAGCGGGTGCGACTCCTTGGTGCTGCTGTACTTGCGCTGCAGCGTCTGGCACGTCGAGCTCACCACGGGCAGCTGCAGCACCCTCTGCAGAACGTTCTCCTGTGCATGGCGGGGGGACACGGGTGAGCCAACAGCAATTCCCTGAGGAGCGCCCCGTTCCCCGCACAGCGCTGGCTCTCGGTGGGTGGAGTGAGCAGAGATCACTGCTTTGTGGAGGATCACTGCTTTGTAGAGGATCAATGCTTTGTAGAGGATCAATGCTTTGTAGAGGAACAAATGCCCTCCTTGACCAGCCAGCAGTGCCCTCACTAGAATGCTGCTCTTCCATGGCCTCAATGCACAGGAGGCACACTGAGGACTCACACTTTGGCTTGCATGGGAAGAGATGGAGGGTATTTCTCTAGCCCCACTGAGGATCTCCCAAGTATGCTGAGTAAGGACAAGCAGGCTGGCTGCTGCCACTGAGGGAGCAGGGACACTGCAGGCAGTATCTGAGGGGGTTGGTCTTCACTCCTCCAAGATCCCAAGCCCAGCTGTTTAGATGCTCCCTCTGGCTTTCCACCCTATGGAAACCTCCATGCTGGAGATCTGAGGACTAAATGGGGCACAGATGAAGGACAGGCACAGTTGGCAGCTATCACTTAGTGCTTACATCAACTCAAGGTTAACTTTTTTGAATCTGAACTATTTAATTTCAAGCAAGCAAAAAAAGTTTGCCCTTTGCCTTTGATGATGCTCCATACTACTGCAGGTAAAGATCCATATGAAGAGAACATGGGACATGTGAGACAGCATGAGGTGTGGCTGGTATTTATCCAGCACAGTCAGCACACACTACCTGGCCCCCTTGGCACATCTCTGCCCTTTTCTCTTTCCCTTTCCCTGCACCCACCTTGGCATTTCCATCCTGCAGAGCCTGAGCCTTCTTCACCGTCATTGTGGCACACCCACCTGCAAAGCAAAGTTGGGAACCGCAGACTCTGCCTGAAAGCAGGGCTGGGCTTGGGCTCCCCCTCACTCCTGCACCCCCAAGCACAGCAGCTGGGCTGACACACACCTCCCGTGGGTGCAATGGATGTGGCATTGCCCAACATTTGACTTTTTACCAGTTAAATGTAAAACCAAAGCCTCCATGCAGCCCTGCCCTGCTCGTGTGCCTTAACACCCAAAGATCCAAAAAAATTAGTTGAAAGGCATGTAGTTTAGAGAAGTTATGGTAAGAGCAGGATAAAGTATGCTGGAAAAGCAAACTCAGAGCAACTAGGATGCTAACAGATGTGCATGAGAGTAGACTCTGGCTGAGAAGGGATAGGAAGGCAGGACAGGAGCAGACAGAAAAGCAGTGGGTAGGGATATGGTGAGATGTCCAGCTGAGGTCAGCATCCCCCTTGCACATATCTGCTGTTCAAAATGCCAGCACTCATCCTTGTGAAAACACAGCTCCAGCCCCAGCACAGACCCCTTTTTCTTAGCAGCAGATGAAATTCTGGAAATCTAGAGAGAATGGGTGATCCCTGCTCTCACTCCCTGGAACCACTGAAGCTGTCCTGGAGCACCCCGTGGGCACAGACTACTCACCGAGGGCCAGCCTGTCCCCAGCAGAGCAGGAGCAGAGAGTGGTGTCTGCACTGTCCCCTCAGCCTGGTCCAGTGAGGGTGAGGCACTGTGCTCTGGCCACTACCACCACCACCAGGCCCCACCTCCCTGTTGCGTGGGCTCGGGAGCTGAGGGATTGTGGTGGAAACGGGCCAAGGAGCTCCCTGAAACCACCGTAACTGGGAACAGATGACAGCAGAAAATCCCCTTTGCTGCCTTCCCTGCAGAGTGCAGGAGCTGCAGCACAGCTGGAACGTTCCAGGGTTTAACACCACTCCTTCCACAGAAGAGGAGGAGATGCCCTGGGACCTCACCACCTCGAAAGCAACAGATCATGAGCAGGCAGGGAGAAGGTGAAGAGTCAGGGTTTCCTAAGAGATTAAAACCTTCCTGTGTTTCTGTAAGCCCTGCTATGCCTCCTGATGGACCAGGGCATGATCCTGCTGGGAAACCTAACAGAGATCAAGAAAGTGGCTTCTCCCCAGGAGAGTTTACTGAGCACAAGGAGCAGAAGGCAGATGTGGGGGACATATTCTGCTTGAAGCAATCTGGTTTGGGCAGGTCTGCAATTTCTAAGATGATTCATGAGGCTTTTGGTGAGGAGGCTCTAGCTGTGGGTCAGAGCAGACACTGCATTAGGAAAGCTTTAGGCATTTGGGCTAGATGGAGAAAAGATCAGTTTGGAAGTGATCTCTGAAGATCACTTCATTCAACTCTTGCTCAAAGCAGGGCTACCCTCAAAGTCAGATCAGGCTGCTCTTGGTCTTGTCCAGTTTTAAAAACTTTCAGTGAGAGGATTCCCCTCTCTCTGGCGCCCAGTTCCTGTGCTAACCATACTAATGGTTAAACTATTTTTTCCTAATGTCCAGCTGGAATTTTCTTTGTTGTACCTGACATCTCCTATCATTGCTTTGTGCACCTCTGAGCAGAGTTTGTGCCCCATTCAGTGCTGGTGCAGCCTGTGTTCCATGCCCCTGAATGCCTTGTCCTCTCATGAAAGACTATTCAAGATGTCTCCTGTGATGGTGGGACCAAAACAAGACATGGTTCCCCAAATGTGGATTCACAAATGCTTTGTAGAGGAACAACTGCCCTCCTTGATCAACCAGCAGTGCCCTCACTAGAATGCTGCTCTTCCATGGTCTCAGTGCACAGGAGGCACACTGAGGACTCACACCACTGTTAACAAATCCATTTGTGGTACTGATTGAAAAGAAGACCACACCACCTGTATGGGACCATGGCAAGTTTTGGTTATTGACTACAGATGTGCCACAGTGATGAGACGAAGACAGTGTGGTGGAGAGAGGACAAATGCCTGAGGACAAGGCAATAATCAGGGAGATCAGTGCAGATGAGAGGTCCAGGGCTGCTGTGTGTCCCTTGGCATGTGGCTCACAATGCCCACAGCTGCCCAGCACTCCCATTCAGCACATGGAAGTGAGCACCCAGCACGGCTCCATGGCTCCCTGCTTGTGGCTGCACAGCTCCTGCATGGGGGTGGGAGGCTTCCCTGGGGCATGGGAAAGCCACAGATGGAAAGAAAATGCCCCCTTTGCTTCCCAAAGAGCCCAGAGTTTGCTCCCAGCCCAGGGCTGTGCCTGCCTTGCTGGCTGGGTACAGAGGCACATGAGTATGCTGGGCTGCCTCCAGCTGGTGCTGGGGTCAGCCACTGCCCTTCAGACAGAGGGACAAAGGGCACCAGCCTGCTTCAAAGTTTGCTCTCTTGGCACTCAGACTTTTTCCAGCCCTGCTGGCATGGCTGAAAGTGCAGAGGGCACAGCAACCTCCTCCCTGCCTTGGCTGGAGTCAGGAGCCAACACAGCCCTTGCCCTACTAATGCCTGTGCTCATCCCCTCCCCTTCCTCTGGGCCAAAGGCTGTGCCAGCCCTGGCTCTGCAGGGCAAAGGCACCACAGCCTCCCTGCCCCACCACTCCAGCACCAGAAACACTCCCTGTGCTCCTGCAGGCAATGTTGAGAGCTCACAGACCCACAGGGTGCAGGGAAGCAGTTTCACACCCCTGTCCCTGCAGTCTGCTCCACATTCAGTAATACACCACAGTGAGGGGATGAGCCCCATCCCCAAAACCCTGCAAGGCACCTTTATCCTTTGGTCTGGGAAGGGGCTGGAGAAGTATCTGATTCATTTCCATGCAGAATCAGCAACCCCATAACCACTGCTGATATATATCTGCCCAGTTTCTTTTTAAGGATGCCCTCCTAGGCAAGCTATTTAGATTTTTTATTTTACTTTCAGTTCAAAAAAAGGTGAGATTTAATTCTTTGTGGCAATATAAAAGTATTATCTCCTGGATCTGGAGACTGATTCATTGCCTTGCTCTTGGCAGAAAAGCTTTTAGACATTTGGAAGACTACTCACACCCTCCCCTAGTGACACTTCCTCTACAGAACTGGTTTATTTGGTATCTCCTTGGAGATGTTGGTTTTTAACCTTTGCCTGCTCTTAATGCTCACCTGGGAATCCCCATTGGCTCACATATTCCTTGAAATGTCAGGCCCAGCAGAGTGTTAATGTTAGGAAGGCCCTGTCTGTAAGCAGAAGAGAAGATGACCACTCTCCTACTGTTTCCATTACAAAATGTGTCTGAGGCCACTAATCCAAAAGGAAACTCTTGCTAAAGCACTCCTGAATGCCATGCTTTATACATTGTTCTGGAGCTGACATTTGGGAGCTTCCAAGTTTGCAAGGCTCTCACTGCAGGGGATAGGAGCTGACAGTGAGCTCAGTTTAATGGTTATCCTGGCTCCATCCCTTGCCACCTCTGCCAGAGATGTCAGCCTTTGTTCCCTCCCTGACCTGGCATTTGTCATTAAACCATGACCATCCAAATGAAAAGCTGATTATAAGATACTGAAATGCAGGTGCCCTTGGCTCTTTCACCAAAGCTGTGCCTACACTGGCCACAAGGCTCCAGCCCTCACTGCTGGTACTCAAAGGCAGCTGATGGCAATTCCCAAAACACCTCCTTGTTTCGGGGCACTCTAAGGATGCAGTTTCACCTGATACTCACACATCTCTTAATGGTTTTGCAGCTGAAATTGTGATTTAAATTAGCTAGATGAATCTAGCTGCCAATTGGCTACTGCAAAAGGAATGCTCTAGAACCCACTCATAATGTCTCTTTAAAAGTGTCATCTTTCATAAAATTCAGAGATGGAAGAAATTCTCCCTCTTTACACCACCTTCCAAGTGATACACAGACACAGTGTCACACTCATCACAGTTTATTGCTTATGTTCAAACATCTTGTTCTTACTTCAACTGCTGTATTAGAAACAGATACAAAAAAAGGCACTAAAAGGATTTTCTCCATGTGATCACAATCATATAGCTTCAGTCACATTATTTTAAGGTACCTTAAATCACCAGCCTCCAGCTGGGGAGCAGAAGGCAAATATTAGTGCTTAATATCCAGTAAACAGAGGTACTCCTGTGTGTTCCAGCCTACATCATGGAGAATGGCAGGGCTGAGACAGGCTGAAAACTCACCCCCATTTCCCTCAATAAGGCTGCACAAGCTAATCCACACCAGGCCCTATGGGAGAAACATCAAAGCCTGGCTCAGGGCTTTGCACAGTGTTTGCCTGCAGGGCACAGGGAGGGAGACTGGGCTCTATCAATGGGTTTCCCTGAAAAGTGTAAGAGAGAAAGAGAAAGCAATTGGCAAACCAGTGAAAGTATTTTGTGAAGTATTTTGCATCTGAGAGCTCCCCTGAGTGGGACTGAAAGCACATTTTTAGCAATAAGATGGAATTCTGTAGACAAAAGCTGGTCAAATCTCCACTGTCAGATGATCAAGACTCCTCTTCCTTTCTTCCAGGGGTTGCTACACACTGGGGTAATGATCAACTCTGACTAAGGGAGAGATGGCTTCCACATTGCCAGGAGATGAAACACAAATGGAGAAAGAAACAAACAAAAATTCAATTTTTATAAAGGAGAGGAAGCCTAGAATATAGCCTATAATATATATCCCACACACATTGCTCCATTTTGGCCTGAACTACCACTATGCTTCTACTTTTAGTGCTACTCATTTCCATATTGAAAAGAAGAGCTCCTGAAGGCCACATCTGATCTTCAACCACACTTAATTATCCTGCCCAGCAACCTTTTTCTTTTCAAACACTTCATTGGTAGGCTATCACTTCACATGCAAACTGGAAGTAATTCCAAGCCCAACCACAACTTCAGGTAAACTGGAGCACTGCCTCACCTGCTTACTTAATTCCACATCCTTTGCCTTTTAATAAAGGAGACCCACACCTTTTAATTTTCTGGTTTTAGATAGCATCAGAAATAATAAGAGAGAACTTTG